AATTAGCCAAAAGTGGCCCTGCCCGACGCACTACTACAGGCCCAATACGAGACAAAAACTGGGCCAACTACAGCCCACCAAGGCCCGGACACTCTTCCTCCTCTGCAAGCGGCACTGGCACCGGCACGGGCGCACGGCGGCACCATCAGTCCACGGTCCACCACCGCTACCCGCGGATTCCCCACAGTCCGCGGAGGCGCAGACTTATACTGATTGCAGGTACTTTGTGCTTGATTCTTGTGGTGTAAACACTCAAAGTGAGCAGAGGCCATTTTTCAGTCAAGGGTATACACTTGTTGTAGATTTATCATATTCAGGTGTCATCATATTAGTCCCCCCCCCCTGATCAAATGTTCTGGTTCCGCCATTTTGCTTCCAGGTGCTCCAAGGTCTTTAAATGATTATGACAACATTGTCCTCGATGATCATCCTATCGCTCAACTATCTGGTTTTTGAAGTTATGGGAATACCGAACACATGCTTCATGTTCATCCGTGGAGTAATTTGACCTGCACCATTGTATGTTGTTCACCCCAAAACTGTTATAGTATTACTTTGTTAGAAGTTCTTTCATCCCAGAGGAAGGCTTACTTTTGGTTGGTCTGGTTTCTAATGGAGAGCCTGTGGTTTTGGGATCCCACCATGGCATCAGAAAATGGACAAATTGGTTATTGGCCAAATATACTTATCTGGTTGGAGCATGCCATTTCATCTCTCTCTCTGGGGTTCCCCCCCATATCCTTGCATTTCCTTTTCAGACAAGCAACATAATTAAGAATTACATGTACATTGTTCAAGTCCCCGTTCCATGATGAGGACTTGAGATTGAGGAATATTCAAAAAAAACTGAGCAACCCAGGTGTTCTCGCCGTTTTTTTGTGTAGAGATTTTTGTTACATTTTTTAAACTATTCTTAATTCTAACAAAAAAATTTTTTTTGATTTTAATAAAGATAACACTTTTCATTTCAATAAGGATGCATGCCTATTCGGTAGGGATCATCTTGGTATCAAACTAGCAGTATACTACTAGCTTTATGCCTATTCTTAATTCTCAAAATTATTCACTCCTAATGATTTGTAGGATATAGGGAGGAAAGGGGACGCCTGGGCTATCCTCTATTTACATAACTGTTGTGTCTTATAGACTGATTGCCTTATAGATGTTCCAATGGTATTGGCGTTTCACAGTCCATCCCATGGTTACCTACGTACCATTTGGGTTGTACCTCTAATCTAAACAAAAAAAGAATTAGAAAAAAGCTCTTTAGAATAATCACCCGTTACGAGAATGGCAGTTATACCAAAGCTTGTTACTGGAACTGAAGAACGTTAACTAATGGAAGGAAATGCATTACCCTACCCCAACATATTAGAAAAATACTAGCATGTTTACCATGCATGGCAAAGCGGAATCTTGAGTTGTTTTACTAGCTAGTGGCTCTGCTCAATAGGCGCGCGGCCAAAAGTGTTGCTTTTGAAGAAAAAAATAGTGTTAGAATTAAGAATAGTTTAAAAAAAGTGTTAAAAATAAAAAAATTCTTCTCGTCATCACCCTACCTTCCCTATATCTGGTGGTCGTCCCTGTAATAGTCCTTACATATGGCTAGTTTGCAGAGTGGTACAACAGAACACTTATGCTGCTCACTCAACAAATGTGTTCGCTTAATCGGCAGATGCAAAAAAAAAAGGAGCGCTGTGGAGGTGAAGCTGGGCACGCCCCCCAACACACACGGACACATGAAGCGGTCACTCCAAGTCTGAAACATCACCCTGCGCGCGTCTCACCCCCAAGCAGAGGCCGAGCGTGATCTTGTTTCTAGGTGTCGGCAGACAGAACGTATCAGGGAGCTTTGCTAGGAAGAGAGTTGGGGAATTTAATATTCCAGTCAATTAATTACATTAGATAAGACGCAATGGATCATCAGTGTCGCCACATACTTTGTAAGTTCAAACCTGCAACATACTGTAGAGTAGGAAAACAATACTGCAAGTCTAAAATAGCTGTGATTGATGCATAGAAATCAAAAGCTAACCCGCCCCTGTAAAACACGCAAGTCTGCATCAGCTGCTACGCTGACCCTCACAGTTGTAAACTCGTAAACTTAAAACTGCCCCCCCCTGTTTGGCTCCGTGCTCCGTCAGGTGGGGCGCATCGGAGACACAACTTTTTAATGTCATCGCAAGGACGCACATCATTAGCTAATCTATGATAAATTTAAACATTGATTGATAATGATACCTCTCATCTATTAATTCAACAAAGACCAACCGAGCAAAAAGTGTCCATATTAAAGACCAAAATCCAACTTTTCAAGAGCTAAGAAACCAGAAAATTTGAAGAACAAATTAGTTAATGACTTAGTATGTGATGTATGAGGAGACATTCAGACATACCAATATCTGCTCAGCCTGCTCCTCCTCTCCCTCCCCTATCATATGCTCGCGCCCCCACCAAATCATCATCCTCCATCAGAGCGGCCTGCCTGCACCGTTATTCTGAGAAGCGGTGAGCAGAAAGGAAGCGCTAGGGTTTCAGGCCTTTTGAGCTCTCGGCCGGGATGCCCCGAGCGGCCGGCTGCAGCGAGTGGCGCCAGCTGGCTGTGTGGGCTTGGGGGCTGCACGTATGGCTGGGGCACAGGGAAGAATAAAATGTTTCTTATTATTTTTAGAGCTCCGACCTCTTTGATGCCATAATTTTCGGACCACGGACAAACGAAGGTCGTGATAATATGGTGGCGACGATGGTAATTATTGCTCTTTGAAGAACCACGCGGCTCCCGGCTGGAGTGGGAATTAGGGGTTGCCGAGTTGGGGCACTTCCACTTGAGCCGCTCTCCCGATGTAAAATGCTTATGGGACTAATTTTCTTCCTTCCCCGTTTTTCCTTGTACCTGGTTGCGCTCTCTCACATTGGACGTCGGACGTCGCCGCTCCTTCGCTGGCCGAAAGGGAGGAAGACAGAGGGATTTTGCCACTAGTGGGGTTACTCATGGTAGGTGGGCAGCTGCCCCACCTGCGTGCATTGCATGGGGAAATATCCTTGCCATATGTCCGCCACCAACCGTGTGCGGAAACCAAGAGGACAGAAGAGGGCGTGGGCCCCCCTCCCCAAGCACACTGAAAATTTTTAGTACCTATAAAAATTCAATTGTATAGTAAAAAGAATTATTGTTTCACTCTTTTTTATGATAATATTGTGTTTTTTGTTATGAGTTCTAAATATATATGTAAAAACGTTGAAAAGCTACTGAGGTATACACTTGTTGTATAGATTTATCATATTTACGAGGTATCATCATATTATCCGACCCCCCTTGATCAAATGTTCTGGTTCCGCCATTGCTTGCTGCCAGGTGCTCCAAGGTCTTTACTAATGAATTATGACAACATGGTGTCCTCGATGATCCATTTTTCTGGTGGCTGGACAAGGAGGGATCTTCTAATTGCATGCTTGATCACCACACGATACATTTGAAGGCGTGTGTCCACATCCCTCAACTTTTTTAACAAGGCAAATTTTCATGTTGGAAGGATAATATAGATTTTTTTTTTTCGTTTCTTGCAGCTTTGTTCAAAGCTAATGTCAGCTTAATTAGTTTTTTTGCTGCCTATTGGACAATGCTTCCTGCACAGTAGTGCCTGAGGTTCAGAACTGTACGTATATTCCTGAGGCAAAATTGTGTTTGGGGTACTCGCTGCTGTTTTATATTAGTGTCCAGTACATGTTACCCATTAACCATCAACAAGCTACTGTATGGGTGTTAGTTGCTGAGAAAATTGAAACTAATTTTGCACACGATATAATGAGGTACTTGACTCATTAGTTAACTTGCAAAACTGGGGTTCATCCTCATATCAAACTTACAGTATTATTATTTCGTGGTTCTTCCATCCTGAGGACATTTTCTTTGCAATTTGTAGAATGATTGAACATTCCTAAGGATACATCTCTATTTTTAATGGTCTATCCGTTTGCTAGGAGTATGGACTCAGGGCTAGTTGGATGTTGTATATTACGAAAACAACAATCGGACTACACTTTAAATTGTGCGTTCCTGAAGCGAGCCTATTTGCTTGTGTTGTGTAGAGCCTGGTATGTTGTTACCCATTAATAACCTATTACTATATATACTGGTGCTATTGTTATTTTCAGAAAAAAAATAGAAACAATAAATTTGATATTTAATATAGATGAGGTATTCATTTCAATAAGGATGTCATGCCTAAACGAACTAGGGATCATCTTGGTATCAAACTAGCAGTATACTACTAGCTTTATGAATGTTTCATTAGCTAATCCAAAATTATTCTTTCCTAATGATTTGTAGGATGATTGAACATACTTAAGTCACACGCCTAACTTTCATGAACTATCCCAACACCAGCTTACATAACTGTTGTGTCCAGATTATAGACTGATTGCCTTATAGATGTTCCAAGAACCTCGGTATTCAGAGGCCAACATTTTAGAGTAGGGCCTTTTTACAGTCCATCAATAATTACCATGGTTACCTACGTACCAAAAAAGTTTGGAACTTGGTGATACCTCTAATCTAAACAAAAAAGAATTAGAAAAAAGCTCTTTAGAATAATCACCCGTTACGAGAATGGCAGTTATACCAAAGCTTGTTACTGGAACTGAAGAACAGAAAGTTAACTAATGGAAGGAAATGCATTAGTGATGAGCCCAACATATTAGAAAAATACTAGCATGTTTACCAACAAGCACATTGGCAAAGTTCGTACACTGAATCTTGTCATGGTTAATGATGCAGTTTACTAGCTAGTGGTAAATGCTCAATCATAACAGCAAATAGCAGGTCGTTAACAAGCGCACCTTGACAAAGTTCATATCGAACTGATAGGAAATGCATATATAAACCTTAATTAACAGCATATAGCAGGTCGCCCAGTTATCACGATAAGAAAGTTTATTTCAAAACGTATAGTCATCCAAAAGAAGGCAGGCAGACACAACAGACAGAAGCAAATAACTGCCTAGGCTTCATCTGCCGCGCTAATCCTGTCCATGATGTTTGCAACAACCTCCTTGGATTGCTGAAGCAGGACAATGCTCTTCTTGAGGCGGTCGCGCTTGGTTCCGGTGCTCGGCGGCGGCGAGAGCATCCGCTCAACCCCAGCCATGTTGTTGCCCAGGAGCTTGTTGGCCAGCTCATCCTCGAGATCGTTCTCCACGAGCCGCTTGACACCGCGGAGGACATGAAGCGCCAACCCATCGACGTGCCTGAGCACTATGCTCTTCCAGCACGCGGTCAGCCGTGCCCTCAAGTCAAATGCCTGCGCTGCTAGGTCAGCGTGCATCCTAAGATGACACACGTCCACTTCCCCAAAGCATTCCAGGGTAATCTTAGATGGCCTCGACTTGTCCTTGTCGTCCACAGAATCCATGAACTTCTTCTGACCTTCCATTATGGCTTCCCAAGTCTTCATGTAGTCAGGGTTCGCCGTATAGTCTGCCACCAGCTCCATCTCTATCATCTCCTTGACGTGCTGCGCAGACCGTGCCCGGGTCTTCTCCATCAGGCTCTGGATGGCGCGGTGGCATGACGACTGCACCTGTGGAAAGTTTTCAGAGTGCTGAAGCAAAACTTTCATCACCAGGTCCTCCACATACTCCCACACCTCGTTGACAAGATCTTGCGGTACTTGGCTAACCATCTCCACCTTCTTCTTGAGCATGACATGGAACGCCGATCTTGGCAGAAAGTTGGGGAGGTTGATGCCCATGGTCTCCTCCAGAACACGCATCTCCTCCGTCAGAAAGTTCTCGTCGCTGCCTTGGGCATTCCGTTGGCAGCTTCTTTGCATATGTAGCATCTCTGCAATACGAGCTGTGCCATGGAAGTTGCAGTCATCCGCATAGCCTCCAAACTCGCCCCTGACCAGTATCTTCTCCAGTGAAGTGCAGACCTTCTTGACAATGTGGAAGAACACTCTTACGGCATCCCCAGTGTTAATGAGATCCGGTGGCATCTGGTCGAGCTCGGTGCTGCTGCGGATGAGGCGATCATTGATCTGCTTGACAATGTCGGGGAGGCACTTGGCAATGATGGTCGCTTGAATCTGCATTAGCCGCTGTGCAAGGACTGGAATGCCGACCATGGACTTGTCAATCTTCGAAAGCAACGGGTGATTCTTGAACAGCCGCGCCTCCTCAATGCGCGCCTGGTCGTACGTTTCCTCACCAACACGGTTACGGACACAGACGTAGCCAAGGCCAATGTGCACGTCGTCCATGGTGACCTTCTCAAGCAGCCCCTCTGGAGCCTTATCGACCTTGGTGACCACGGCCAGCGTGCGCTCGCCAGTGCGGTCCACCTGCTGCGACATGCGGATGGACTCGCACGTCGGGAAGTCCACCGTGGCCGAGAGCACGTTCAGGATGATGCTCTCCTTCGGGGCGATGTACTCCTTGATAATCTTTGCGATCTGGTCATAGATGTCCTCTGGTTGCCCCTGCACGGGGACACGCGTGATACCTGGGATGTCGACGAGCGTGAGGTCGGGCACGCCGCGCTTGCGCACGACGAGCGTGATGGGTGCGTCGGAGATGCCCTTGCCACTCCCAGCGATCTCCGCTGTGGCGGCGTTGATGGCGTCCGCGACGTTGGCCTCGGTGGTGGTCACCACGCGACCGTTGCTGTACTCAAGCTGGAGCTTGGGCGAGTCGGCTGAAGGGTCTCCCTGGAGCCGCATGACGAGAGGCACGCGCGTGCAGATGCCCTGGCCACGCGGCTGGCTGATGCCGGCCAGGGACTCGAGGACACTGGACTTGCCGCTGGACTGATCGCCGACGACGACGATGGTTGGCAGCTGGATGCCCTCCTGGGTCACCTTGAGGTGGCGCAGCCGGTCTACGGCGTCGAGGACGGGGCGGATCTGGTCGTTGTACGAGGCCGCGATGGCGCTTGCTGTGACGCCGCTGGCAATGGCCGCGCCCGCGCCCTTGGCGTCCACGACATCGTTCTCCAGCTTATCCCCTGTCCGACGCTTCTTGGACATGCTGTTTCTCTCAGTTTCTGTTTCCCAATTCCCAGTGTCTTTCCGTTCTCTTGTACACGCTCTTCTATTTAACACGTACGCCGATGCTTTTTTCCTCACACACAAAAAAGAAAACGATACGGCCAAAGTCTGTGGGGAGGCGTAGGGGCAAAAGTAAAGGCCGCACCCAGCTGGGGAGACCAGGGGACTAGTGCGGGGAGCCGGGGAGTCGTAGGCTCGTAGTGGCGCGTCGTTCTGGCTGTCGTAGTGGCGCGTCGTTATTTATCGTGGCTTTTACGTCGTTACGCACCAAAGCGAGCAAATTGATGTGGCAGGCACTTCATTTTGGCAGCCAGACGGATCCAGGAATAGCTGCCGAGAGTGAACCCAGTGGGACTAATCGGCGAACCTTCACTACAATTAAATTCAACGAATGATTCTCCGACAGTGCAAATTTTTCTTTTCAAGAAATAATTATTCACGTCTGCCTCCTTTTCGGACGGTGACGAGCACGGCACGTCTCTTTCTCTTTTCGCGTGCCGGAGAGCACTCTCACGCCTGGAGCCAATATTTTCTTTCTTTTTTTCTCTGGATGTGACGTTACTTTAGATAAAAAAAATATTTATTTCAGATTGTTATAACTTCTCATCGGTGCATCCAATTTTAATTCCGTTTGCACCGATATGTTCACACAACGAGACAAACAAAACTAGACCCACTAGCATATGTTTCGATTTTTTTTTCTAATAGTAATTTATGTATCCTAACTTATAACATATAACTTATACATATAACTTATACATATAACTTCTAGAATAAACTTCAACGTATAACTTAACTTATACATATAATTTATACACATGACTTCAAGATATAACTTCAACGTGATAAAGTTATACACATAACTCATACATATAACTAACTACGTGACAAAGTTATACGCATAACTTTTACGTATAATATTTTGCAGAACAAATTTATCAACATAATTTCATAGAAAGCTACAAAAATTATACACAAAATTTTTATGTATAACTTGTTTGTATAACTTAGATATATAACATGATGAATGACATAGAGTAAAATTAGACGTATAAGTTATGTTCAAGAAATTAAATGTACAAATTAATATCATAACATATTAGTAGAAATATGAAAACTATGTATGAAAATAACTACGTAGCATAACTTAGAAATATATAACAAAAAAGAGAAAAAATGGTAAAAAAATAAAAAAAGAATGTCCAGGTGTAGTCATGCTACCAAACAAATCTAACTAACAAAAAAATTATTCAATACAATTTGTGTGTATAAGTTGTAAGTTATACGTTATATGTCATAAGTTAATACACATAAATATTTTTAAAAAAGTTAATGCACATAAATCGCTACTAAAAAATTCTCCGAAATATATAAAAGTGGGATCTAGTTTTATTCGTCTCATTACGTAGAACACATCGGTGCAGATGGAATTAAAAACGGATCCACCGTTGAAAAGTTATATCATTTTGAAATAAATATATTATATTTTTTAGATGACATCAGCAATATGTAAAAACGTGTAGGAGAGGACAGTGGACATTCACGACCTGGTCAGATCGTTCGCCAGATTATTTTTGGGTGAACCTTCACTGGAATGGAATTGTGGAGTGACCCCCCTTGGCCAGTTGGCTAGGCAACCAAACGTCGGCGAGTGGCTCTGAAGAAACTGTTCAGGGGTTTTCGGCCAGAGATGGACAAACCAAAGGCCTACTACAGCCAGACATAGATAGGCCTAACCTTTCGCTCTCTCTCATCCAGCGTTAGGCCCGCAGCCCACAGCCCACGGCCCACGTTCGTCCGTGCCTTGCGGACCGAACACTCTTCTTCTTCCTTCTAAAGGCGGCACCGGCACAGGAGCACAGCAGCAGCCAGCAGGCATTTCCGTCACTCGGCTCCTCGCCGATTTCCCACCCCCACAGGCAGCAGCCATGGCTTCCGATCTCCCGCTCCCTCTCTTCGTATTCCTCTTCCTCGTCCTCCTGCCGACGCCGTGCTCCTCGTGGCGACCGGCCGACGACGACGACGCGTCGGTCTCGAGGTCGGTGTTCCCCATGGACGGTGACGTGGCCTGGGTGGTGCAGGTCAGCGACCTCCATATCAGCACCTACAACCCTGAGCGTGCCGCCGAACTCGCGCTCCTTGGTACCGCGCTGCGAGCAATCCGGCCTCACCTTCTCCTCGTCACCAGTGACATCACCGGTGAGCCCTCTGCTCTCTTGTTTCTGGATCTGAAAATTTTGACGTCAGATTCTGCAACTTGTATTCTAACTAGTCATTATGGGGCGTTGTCCCGTCCCCATGGATATTACTAAGAAAATACTGGGAGCAGACAGCATATCAAGTAGATGCCTAGATGGTGGAAAATTGACCAGAAGTACTTCAAACAGACCAAATTGGCATACCACCCAGAAACCTATAATACTAATACGAAATATAAACTTTGCGAAACTCGAGTTATTACTGCTATGGCTTTTAAGATAGCTCACTCCAATTTGTTTCCTGCTGAGTGCTAACGGCCATGTAAATCATTCTATTCTTATTTGGCATGCAAACCATTATGGTTCCAACAGGATATCCACTAACAGAACAGAAGAAAACCTACGATTGATCAGTATTGCTTTCCTTGTGGTTTTATGACCCGTTATTATATATTCTAACTTCACATTGTCATTGTCATTTTAATAAGATGGTAAGAATCAGCAAAGAACTAGTTCAAGGCAGGATGAATACGAATGGGTTACCTACAAGAAAACTCTTGATGCAATTGATGCTGAGAATCAGCAAAGAACTAGTTCAAGGTGGCATTGATAAAAACAGGATATTTGATATTAGAGGCAATCATGACACATATGGAGTGCCCTATAGAGGAGGAAAATTGGACTTCTTTTCAACTTACAGTGTTAACTCACAGTTTAAGCGATTAAGCACCATCAGTAGTATATTGCTTCAGGTACGACTTATACTTGTGTCAGCTCTCACTGTTTATCACCATTGAATTTATTCAAGGTATTTCTAGGCACCATTCTGTACTCAAATCCAATGGGTAGCCAAGTTTCAGCTAATGATCCGTTTCTGTCTCAAGGTGTAAACTGTAACATATTACTAGCAAAGCATAAATGTTGAACATTATTGACTACTGATGCACTAACTAGTAAATCAATGTCCCATTTTTAATTTCATTCTTTTGTAATAATAAATGTCCAATGAAAGTTATGAAACATACTTTGGGAGTTGTGCATATGTATTTTCATGACTATTCATCTATATTAATAACCACTACAGTTCTGAAACTAAATTCTGTCCTAAAAGGCACTGTAGGGAGATAGAAGCTACCAATTTCTGGGTATTGATGATACAATGAGTGTTGGCATTCGTTTTCCTGCAAACCTTTTGGTCATGCAACTGATAAAAGGATAGAAGCGGTAAATTCAGAGCTTCAATACTGGACCAATCATTCCAATGTTCCAGTTACCAAAGTTGTTTTTGGACATTTCCCTATGTCATTCACTGCATCATCTGAAAAAGGACAGCGATATGAAAGTGTGTTTGCAAGGCAGTCTATTCAGCATACCTATGTGGTCATCTCCATGCAAAAGTTAGTAAGCAGCTTTGGAGGTATCATGAAATCAGAACAACAGAAGATCACAAGTCAAGCTTTTGGGAATGGGAACTTGGAGACTGGAAGGACTCCAGATTGATGAGGATTTTAGCAATAGATGGTGGTGCAGTCTCATTCATAGATCACACATTGAAACAGGCACTCCAAACTTCCATCTTGATCACATATCCAACAGATTCAAGAAGTATGAATATGTTGGATTCAGAAAAGTGGTCGATGAGAAATGATATAAATGTCCTTATTTTCTCTGATCAAGTTATCCGTAATGTGAGTGCTAGAGTCTTTGACTCTCATAGTGAGTTTAAGATTGTTGAGGAGATACCTCTGCAGCTTGTTGCCAGTACTTCTGTTCACAGACCTTTGTTCCATGCCAAATGGAATGCTGAAAATTACAGAAGTTCATCCGCTACTCGCTACTGGTTGCAGGTGTTTGTTCTTGATTCTCATGGTGTAAAAATTTCAAGCGAGCAGAGACCATTTTCAGTTGAGGGTAAGATGGCAATTCCCACAAGCTCATGGACCAACTATCTGCTCTTTGAAGTCCAGTGGGAAGACATGTATCAAGTTCTTCTGTGGAGTAATTTGGTCTTCACCATTGTATTGTTGTTCATCCCCAAACTATTATATCATTTTGTTAGGAGAAGTTCATCATATCAAAGGTGGGCTGTTTCAATCCTGTCATCCCCTATCCAGCAGAGAAAAGCTTACTTTTGGTTGGTTTGGTTTTTAATGGAGGACACAAGGAGTAAACCTTTCTGGTTTTCTATGGTAATATATGTGCTCTGGCTAATAAAAATGCCATGGTTTTGGGGTCATGCAACGTCTGAAAATGGAGAAATTGCTCAAATGTACTTATCTGGATGGAGCGTGCCAGTTCATGATGGGGGCTTGATGGGCAGCAAACTGAGCAACCCAGATGTGCTTGTCATCACACTGCCATTCCTATATCTGGTGGTTGTCCCTGTAATAGTTCTTATATATGGTCTGTTTGCAGAAAAAGGCTATTGTGTTTTTGTGGCACAGAAGAAGAATAGTATACTCTGCTGACACAGCAAATATGCATGCTGAGTCATCAAGCTTGCTGCCAGTTGCTCCAAGGGCTTTACTAATGAAATTCACTGACAAGATGGTGTCCATGATGATCCAGTTTTGTGGTAGCTGGACAAGGAGGGCTCTTCTACTTACATGCTTGATCACTGCAGCAATACATTTGAAGGTACATCTTTCTGTCCCTCAATCTTTTGACAAGGCAGTTTTTCATGTATTAGTGTTGATAATAATGTTGATGTGTGTTTCTTGCAGCTCTGTTCAAAGCTAATGTCAGCTTATGGAATGGTACCAGTAGCCTTGTCACCCCCATTGGCATGGATACCACTGTTGTTATTAGGTGGTGCTGCCTATTGTACAGTTCTCCATGTAGATTAGCACTCACTACTGTGCAATCCTGAAGTGAACTTATTTGCATGGGGGGATTAGTGCTCACAACTGTGCATTCCTGAAGTGAACTTAGTTACAAGAAATGCATGAGTCGTAGGCTGCCATGGTGGCCGATCGAAGAGGATAAGGCCACTTTGAAATACGGGACTTTTTTCTGTTTTCTGCATTTTTTCCGGTGAAATGAATTGATTCTTGTAAAAGTTTCTGTATAATTTATATGCTTTCAATAAAAGCAGAGTAATCCTCTGTCAAAAAATCTGTATAATTTATGTGAAATTTTTGCATTTCTAATGCGCCCTAAATCTGTTACTGAACTCAGTTTTTTTTTTATACAATTAGAGCTTTAGAACGCTAGTGAAGGTGAGGACCCATAGACAGAGAGGCTCAGGAAGTCAGAAGAGAGGTTGCAAGATAAGGGATTGCCATTGCTGTTGCTGCTTAGATTTTGCAATGGACGGCTCGGCCACGGCCCAGCGCGCCTCACGTCCTTCACAGCCCATGGAAAAACGTCACTCATTTCTTCTCTGGTTCTATTTAGTAGGGATATAGGAGTGCAAACCAAAGAAAATGGCATTTTACGTCACGTAAACTTGTGATCGAGTATACTGATCGCGCAAAGAAAAAATAACCAAACAAACACCAGAACACAGTACTCGCTCATACCGAACTGGAAGCTAGTTTTGGCGCTGATGAAGTACTGTACTAGACACAGCAAATGCATAACGAACCATATCGGATTATCGGCAAGTGTTTCTAGGTCCCATCAAAGGTACCACCATGAACACTGACAAGATAAAACTTAACTAGCGATAGTAAAATGCATAAAAAAAACAGCACAGGGAAGGTCTTTAACAAGATCCTTCACTTTAAGTTCATAACGAAACACAACCCAGAAGATGTCAACACGCACAAAAGCACACAACAGCCTGCCTAGATTTCACGCGCATCGCTAATCCTGTCCATTATATTGGCCACAACCTCCTTGGACTGACGAAGCAGGACGATGCTCTTCTTGAGGCGCTCACGCTTCGTTCCGGTGCTCGGCGACGGCGCGAGCATCTTCTCCAGTCCGGCGAACTTATTGCTCAGCAGCTCGTTGCCGAGCTCCTCCTCGAGGTCTTTCCCCACCAGCAGCTTGACGCTGAGAAGGACGTGCAGTGCCAGGCCATCGACGAGCCTCAGCACTATGCTCTTCCAGTACGCGGTCAGCCTCGCCCTCAGGTCGAACGCCTTCCCTGCCAAGTCAGCGTACACCCTGAGATGCGACACGTACACCTCGCCAAAGCCTTCCAGAGTGATCTTCGTCGGCTTCGACTTGTCCTCCACCGCCTCCATGAACTTCTCATACCCTTCCATGATCTCCGCCCAGGTCTTCATGTAGTCGGGGTTGGCGGTGTAGTCCGCCACCAGCTCCATCGCGATCAGCTCCTTGACGTGCTGCGCCTACCGCAGCCGCGCCTTGTCCATCAGGGTCTGCACGGCGCGGCGGCACGGCGACTGCATCTGCGGGAAGTTGTCGGAGTGCTTCAGGAGAACCTTCATCACCAGCTCCTCGACGTACTCCCAGACGCCGTTCACAAGGTCCTGAGGGACCTGATCAATGGTCTCCACCTTCTTCTTCAGCAGGACCAGAAACGCTGATCTCAGCAGGAAGTTGGGGAGATTGATGCCCTTCGTTTCCTCCAGGATGCGCACCTCCTCGATCAGAAACAGCTGTTAGCGCTGTAGTATCATTAGGATAGATCTGGTCGGTAGAGTGATTCTATTCGGGATAAAGGACGTAGTTCATCTAATACATGTAGAACTAGAGAGACAGAGAGGAAAAGAGAAGGTGTTGAACCTGACACCGTAGAGAGGGAGGGTTCAGAGGACGCCATCACGTTCGTTGGTGTAGTCTGCGCACGGGCAGCGATGGTCAATGAAGAGGGCGCCGAAGACGTCGACGTCGATGGAGTGTGCGGCGCGGCTGGTGGCTTTCCATCACTGGCTGCGCCCTCTCTGATCGGATTAGGGTTTAGTGTGTCGGTGGGGAGCTCGGCTCAGGTCAACCTCGTGATAAGAGCCGCCGGCCCCCACCTCTTTTTATAGCGTAATATGACAGGGGCCCTCCAGCCATGGTGGACTGGGCGCCCCCCAATCAGGGTGCGAATCAAAGGCCCAACTAGGCCGTTGGGTCCAGTTAGGATTAGAGATCAATCTAACAATCTTCCCCTTGATCTCTTTTCATCTTTTACTTTCATATCATTTACTTTTGTTCATTCCATTACATATTAACGCATAGAGCATGTCTCATCGTCACGGTCCATTGTCGATATATTTATTAGCTACAACACACCACTCTGTTCTGAAATAGATACTTATCTTTGGACCTTCTTCTTTTATCCAGGAATTATAGGCTTTCCTTTAAACCCATGCCGGCTACATGTTCTCTGAACACGTTGGGTGATAAGCCTTTTATAAGCGGATCCGTGAGCATCTTTTCGGTACTTATATGCTCAAGACTTATGACTTGATCTCGGACTTTATCTTTCACAACATAATACTTTATGTCAATGTGTTTGGCAGCACCACTTAACTTATTGTTGTGAGCACACTGTACTGTCGGATTATTATCGCAGTATAATTTAAGTGGTCTATAGATGTCGTCAACCACCTTCAGACCGGGTATGAACTTCTTTAGCCAGTTCATCTGCCCCGTTGCCTCATAACACGCTACAAACTCGGCATATATTGTGGACGATGTAGTGACGGTTTGCTTTAAATTTTTTCATGAAATAGCTCCCCCTTCGAGAGTGAATACATATCTAGACGTGGATTTTCTATCATCTCCCGCATAATCAGAATCTGAATATCCTACTATATGGAGTGAATCAGATCTTCTATATGTCATCATGAGGCCTTTCGTTCCTTTCAAATAATGCAAGACTTTCTTTACCAATTTCCAGTGTTCTGTTACAGGATTGCTCTGGAATCTGCCAAGTAACCCGGTAACAAATGTCAAGTCAGGGCGCGTGCATACTTGAGCATATTGCAAGCTTCCGACAACTGAAGCATATGGAACCGATTTCATTTGATCGATCTCATATTGGTTCCTGGGGCATTGAAAATCCATATATCTATCGCTCTTGACTATAGGAGCAGGTGAAGGACTACATTTGTGCATACTGAATTTTTTTAAGATCTTTTCTATGTATATCTTTTGTGACAGTCCTAATGGCAATGTATCAAGTGCAAACCAACCTCGTAATTACACTTTTGCAAATCCCCCCTCCCACCTCTCCCCCGCAGTTGGTTTGCACGGTTTGCACGGAGAGGTTGATTTGCACTAGATATGTTCCCCAGTCCTAATACCCCTTTACTTCTATCTTGGTGAATCTCGATCCCTATAACAAATGAAGCTTCACCAAGATCTTTCATATCAAATTTTGAGGACAAAAACTTTTTCGTCTCCAGTAGTAGACTGACATCACTACTAGCAAGTAAGATATCATCCACATATAGGACAAGGAAGATAAACTTTCCATTCTTAAACTTTGTATAGACACAATTGTCCTCTACATTCTCTTTAAACCCAAAATTCCTTATTGTCTGATCAAACTTCAAGTACCACTGTCTTGAAGCTTGTTTTAATCCATAAATAAATTTCTTTAGACGACATCCCATTCGTTCTTTTCCTTTCATGACAAAACTTTTCGGTTGTGCCATGTAAACACTTTCCTTCAAGTCCCCGTTGAGAAATGCCGTCTTTACATCCATCTGATGTAATTCTAAATCGTAATGTGCCACTAATGCCATTATGATTCTGAAGGAATCCTTACATGAGATTGGAAAAAAGGTCTCATTGTAATCAATCCCTTCTCTTTGCGTAAAGCCTTTTGCCACAAGTCGTGCTTTATATCTCTTTATATTTTCTTGAGAATCAAGTTTTGTTTTATAGACCCATTTATAGCCTACTGTTTTGGCTCCTTTAGAAATTATCTCCAAATCCCAAACTTTATTGGCATTCATAGATTTTATTTCATCTTCCATGGCCTCAAGCCACTTTGATAAATGATCACTTCTCATGGCTTCTTCAAATGAGGTGGGATCATCCTCCATTTGAAATTCTTCAGTGTTGTACACTTCATATTCAGCAGGAATAGCTGATTTTCTAACTCTTTGAGACCTTCTAGGGCCTCCACATTTGGCACATCTTCTATTTGAGGCTGTTGTTGCTCCCCCTCATTTGTGGCAATAGGTTCTACAGGATCTTAAAGAACAGGTTCCTCATCATCATTCATTGTTGTCACATATGGAATAACAACAGGTGCTGGCACCACAGTATCTTGCACTGTCGATGCAGCGACAACAGGTAGTGAGAAAAATGGCTCATGAATCATCAGAGTGGGTGTATACACCCGCTTCTCTTCAAGGTCAATTTCTCGAGCTACCATGCTCCCCCTCATCATTTCATCCTCTAGGAAGACAGCATGTCTCGTTTCCACAAACTTTATATGTCTGTCTGGACAGTAGAAACGAAAACCTTTTGACTTTTCTAGGTAGCCAATGAAATGGCAACTCACTGTTTTGGGATCTAGCTTCCCAATATTTGGGTTAAATACTTTAGCCTCAGTAGAACTCCCCCACACACGTAAGTGATTTAGTGAGTACTCTTCCTATCCACAACTCATACGGTGTTTTGGGCACCAACTTACTTGGTACTCTATTGAGAATATGAATGGCAGTTTTTAACGCCTCCATCCACAGGCTCAACGGTAAGGTGGAGTAACTTATCATACTGCGTACTATATCCATCAGGGTATGATTGTGTCTTTCAGCTACTCCATTTTATTGAGGTTCATCCGGTGTAGAATACTAGGCTACTATGCCATTCTCCTGTAAGAACCTTGCAAAAGGTCCAGGAACTTAGCCATATGGGGTATGCCGACCGTAGTACTCCCCTCACGGTTAGACCTGACTATCTTAATCTTTAAATTGTGTTGGTTTTCAACTTCTACCTTAAATATCTTAAATTTATCCAATGATTCTGTTCTTTCTTTGATTGGATAAATATAGCCATAACGGGAGTAATTATCTGTGAATGTTATGAATGAATCATAACCATCCACACTCTTTATAGGAAACAAACCATAGATATCTATGTGAATAATCTGTAGAATTCTCGCTGCTTCATTTGACATCTTTCTTAATTTTCTTTACATATTTTCCTTTAATGCATTCTCTGTATTGTTTTAAATCTGAGAGCTCTAATGGAGGAAGAATATCATTCTTAACTAGTCTTTCTATTCTCCCCCTTAAAATATGACCTAAATGACAATGCCATAATTTCGACAATGCATCATGAGCTCTCTTTCGTTTTCTATTTACATCCGCAGACGAGGATACATTCACATTGTCGCACGCAATGTTCCCATCATAGCATACAACATTCACATCATCACGTAGTGATAACAAATAAAGCTCATTTTATAAGATAGCAAGACCAACACATGCATTGTTAAATGTTATCTTATATTTGCCATTTCCAAAATGGCAATCATATTCATCATTGTCCAAACATGAAACACTAATCAAGTTCCTCTGTAACGAGGGAACATAAAGAACATCTCTAAGTATAAGTTTGAAACCATCAGCAAGCTCTAGAGAAAGATCGCCAATGGCTTCAACTTCTGCTCGGACTCCATTTGTAACTTTAACGTGTCTTTCGCTTCTTTGCGTAGTCCTCGTCGAACGGAATCTCTGTAAAGAATTAGCAACATGAACAGTTACACCTGTGTCAATCCACCAAGTAAATTTTGAATACTGTACATACAAGAATTTATTTATGAACGTAATAATGTTCTCACCTTTCTTTGCCATGATCATCTTTAAGTAATCGGGACAATCTTTCTTATAATATCCCGTCTTCTTACAATAGAGACACTGGTCTTTCTCTATTGTGAACTTGTTCTGCTGAGGCTGATGCAGCATGGGACCCTTTCCCTTTGACTTTGAGGAGAAGTTAGCATTAGTATTCTTTTTCTTATTGTCTTTCAAATAATTGATAGAGCCACCATTGGCAGCTTTTATTCTCTTCTCCTCTTGCACACACATAGACATGAGCCTCTCCATGTCCCACTTTTCGGGCTGTATGTTGTAGTTGACAACAAAAGTGTCAAACTCTTTTGGCAAGTAAGCAAAAATTAGATGGATAAGGAACTCATCCTTGAGAGCCAGATCCATTGGTTTTAGCTTAGAGGCCAAATTGCTCATTCTTAGTATGTGCCCTCTTATGCCACCATTACCAGAGTATCTCTCTATCACTAGCTACTTTATCAGCTGGGATAGCATATGTCTTTGAAGAGACAGTGAACTGACTCTTTATTCTTTTGAGGTACTTGGTGACGGTGTCACACTCTGGGATTGAGCCCATAATTGCAGGCTCAATCGTATTCTTTATCATAGCCAAACATTTCTTGTTGGCAGTGACTCACTTCCTATGCTCAAGGTCATAGGACATCCTTTGGGATGCAAAATCTCTCTCTTTTATTGCCCAAGCGACATCAGCCTCATTTGTCTCTCTCACCGGTGCCACAGGCTCTGTGGGACATGGTGTGATGACTACCCAGTCTACCTCAGCCAAGATGAAAGCCAAGTCAATCTTTTTCTTCCACTCCGTGTAGTTATCACCTTTGAGAGTGGGGATCTCTTTGATACAACCCATCAAGTTGTATCCGCCTAAAAACACAATTCATATAGAGTAAGAACATAAATAATAACAATAACAATTGTATGCCTTAGTTCCAACGTTGGTCAAAATTAAAATATACAATTGTTCTCTACACTAATTCTACATCACCGTTGGGCAGAAATAGAATTAATGCATGACAAAACATCATAATATTGCCATTAATCAATGTTGGTCAGAATAATAACAATATTATAATCAATTAAAACATATCCATTTTTAAAATTAAATTCTCCCGTTGGTTCGAATTTAATAATGAAAATAACATCTTTAAAAACGCAGCGGAAAGCGTAAATATTTTCATTATTATTTTCTCGAAACTTTATAGAACTTTACTTTTCTCTGAACAAAATTGTCATTGGAACAAAATTGTGCAGAGTTGGACATCAAATTTCAATTGAAATTCATCAAATATGTATCAAAAGTTTGTGGAAAAAAATAAAACGAAAAAAATATTTTGTTTCACTGTGTTTGGTCATTTCGGCCCATAGCAGCAGAAGCGGCCCGCGGCCCACAGCTGCCCGCGCGCTTCCCGCGCTCTCCCCCGCGCCCAGGCCGCAACATGGGCCTAGGCCGAGAATTCGGCGTCGTGCCCTCGCCCGCTTGGGCTAAAAGGCAGCCCAATCAACCGACGCCGTCCGTTCCGATCCAACGGCCGAGCGTCGATGGCGTAGGATCAAAACCCCCCGGCCACGGCTGACCCTAAAACCCTAAACCATTCGGTTCTTTGCTCTCTCTCTCTTTGCCGCTCTCGTTTCTTTCCTCAGCGCAGCAACAACAGCAACCGAGCGAGTCGCGCGGGCAAAACGGTGGAGCGATGGCGCCGTCACCGGCCCCCTCGCCGGCGTGCGCGCTCCCCAGCGGTTGAGCGCGTCGCCGTCGAATGGCCTGGCCACGGTGCCCCTTTGGCCGGAGCCCGACGAGCAGTGCCCCCGGCTCGGCGTTCTTTTCCCCGCGCGCCGGCGAGGCAGTAGCGCTGCGCAGCGGCGAGGTAGACCAAAACGGCTCTTCCTCTTCTCCCTTTCCCCTTCTTTCTTCTAGGATTAACCCGATTTGGGGATGGGGTCAAAATTTAGGGTTAGGGTTTTGGGATGGGCACTATTCTTCTTCCCCAGAGGGACTCTACGGATTTTAGGGTTCGGCATCGCGTGCCAAGCCCTCCTATTCTTCTTTCTTTTACCCAGTTAGGGTTAGGGTTAGGAAAACCCTCTTCTTTTCTCAGTTACCCAGTTAGTGTTAGGGTTCAACCGAACCCTCTGTTCTTGTTAGACCCGCACTGGATCTAACCTTCTACTTCCTTTTCTAATCGGTTTACCCGTTCTAGATCTAAAAACCCTAGAAACCAATGGCTCTGATACCAATGTTAGTGTTGTAGGATCACTAGGATCATAGATCTAGCCGGTAGAGTGATTCTATTTGGGATAAAGGACGCAGTTCATCCTAATACATGTAGGACTAGAGAGACAGAGAGGGAAATGAGAAGGTGTTGAACCTGACAACGCAGAGGGGGAGGGTTCAGAGGACGCCATCACGTTCGTTGGTGTAGTCTGTGCACGGGCAGCGACGGTCGATGAAGAGGGCGCCGAAGATGTCGACGTCGATGGAGCGGGCGGCGCGGCTGGTGGCTTCCCATCACTGGCTGCGCCCCTCTCTGATCGGATTAGGGTTTAGGTGTCGGTGGGGAGCTCGGCTCAGGTCAACCTCGTGATAACAGCCGTTGGCCCCCATCTCTTTTTATAGAGCAGTGTGATAGGGGCCCTTCAGCCATGGTGGGCTAGGTGCCCCCGATTAGGGCGTGAATCAAAGGCCCAACTGGGTCATTGGGTCCAGTTAGGATTAGAGATCAATCTAACAATAGCTCGTTGCTGTTTGTCGGGCATTGCGCGGGTAGACTCTTTGCATATCCACTCAGCATCTCGGCGATGCGCGCCGTGCCATGGAACTCACGCTCATCAGGGTACTCAGCGAAGTCACCCCTCACCAGCACCTTCTCTAGTGAATTGCAGACCTGCTTGATGATATGGAAGAACACCCTGACCACATCGGCGATGTTGTTCAGATCCTGCGACATTTAGTCGAGCTCCGCGCTGCTATGGCTGAGGCGGTCATTGATATGCTTCATGATGTCAGGGAGGCACTTGGCGATGATGGTGGCCTATATCTACATAAGCCTCTGGGCAAGAACGGGGATGCCGACCATGGACTTGTCACTTGTCGATCTTCGATAGTAGAGGGTGGTACTTGAACAGCCGCTCCTCCTCAACGTGCGCCTAGTCATAGGTCTCATCGCCGATGCGGTTGTGGACGCAAACGTAGCCGAGGCCGGTGTGCACGTCGTCCATGGTGACCTTCTCAAGCAGGCCCTTGGGGGCCTTGTCCACTTTGGTGACCATGGCGAGCGTGCGCTCCCTGGTGTGGTCCACCTGCTGTGACATATGGATGGACTCGCACGTGGGGAAGTCCACCGTGGCCGAGAGCACATCCAGGATGATGCTCTCCTTGGGGGCGATGTACTCCTTGATGATCTTGGCCACCTGGTCATTGATGTCCACGGGCTGCCCCTGCACGGGCACGCGCATGATGCCGAGGAGGTCGATGAGCGTGAGGTCAGGCACACCACGCTTACGAACGATGAGCGTGATGGGCGCGTCAGAGATACCCTTGCCGCTCCCGGCGATCTCCACGGTGGCGGAGTTGATGGCGTCCACGACGTTGGATTCGATGGTGGTCACCACGCGGCCATTGCTATACTCGAGCTGCAACTTGGGTGAGTCCATGGAGGGGTTGTCCTGCAGGCGCATGACAAGGGGCACACGCTGTGCAGATGCCCTGGACACGCGGTAGGCTGATGCCGGCCAGAGACTCGAGCACGCTTGACTTGCCGCTGGACTGGTCCCCAACGACGATGATGGTAGGCAGCTGGATGCCCTCCTGCGTCACCTTGAGGTGGCATTGGCGGTCCACCGTGTCAAGGAGCGAGGGGATCTGGTTGTCGTAGGAGGCCGTGATGGCGCTCGCCGTCACTGCGCTACCCCTAGCGCCAGCGACGTCACCGACCTTGATCTTTCTGGACTCGACTTCACCACCAAAACTCTTCTCCAACCTCATCGACAATGACTACTATACTCCAACTTGCCTCATGGCTAAGGGGGAGAAGGTACATGTCTCCTCTGATCCCTCTAGTGATGAGTATGCTAGTTGTAATGAGAACATAGAACTTGAAGCAACCATAATAAAGAAATTTGGTAAAAAAGCCTACACTAAAATAAAAACGCTAATGAAGAAATTAGAGAAGATGGATAGATGCTTGGAGATGCAAGGAGACATAATCACTCAAGAGAGAGACAAGAACCTTGCACTTGAAGCATCTATCGCCGAGGAAAAGATAAAGGTTGAAAAGTTAACCATTGAATTGTCTTTAGCTAATGACTCAATTGGAAAATTGACTAAGGAACATTCCTCGATTAATGATCTAGTAGCTAGCCTCAAAAATGAGAAGAGTATAGCTCAAGAAAGCCTCACAAGCTTGGAAGAAAAATACCAAAATCTTGAGCTAAACTATAGGACTCTTTGGGTTAGCACTTCAACTTCTCCTAAGGCAACCGAAGACTCTAATGTCTCCACTAGTAATGGTTGTAAAATATGTTATAAAGTTGATGTAAATGCATATGCAACTAACCTTGTTGAGCTAGAGAAGAAAAACAAGGAGATTAATAGGTTGAATATGATCTTAAAGAATGTGTGCAAGTGTCAAGAGCAACCCAACAAGACTATATATAAGTCATCAAGGAACCCATCAATCAAGGAAGGCATTGGCTATAATAGGTATGATGGAAGGGCCAATGGAAGAAACATGATCAATGTCGTGCCTTGTGTGAAGTTCAACAGGGGCGTTGCTCTTGATGAGCTTATATGCAAGGCCAACAATAAGGTATATATTCCCAAGATTCAACCTAAAAGTAACAAGACAATCAAGATGAAGCAATCTGAGGCCCCTAAGCCACAAGCACCACTTCCATGGTGCTATGCTAGTGACTATATGTGTTGTTGGGGCAAGGATGGCAAGATTGTAGTCAAGTATGTTGGTGCCCAAAAGGGAAGGAGATTATAAAGAGTGTTTGGGTGTCCAAGTTTTATGTGATTAACCACCTAGGACCCAAATCCATTTGGCTACCAAAAACTAAAGGCTTGATTTATCTTTGTAGGAATATTCCTCCAGTGGAACAAGTTGGGTGGTGGATAGTGGTTGCACCAATCATATGACCGGAGAAAAGGACATGTTCACATCATTCCAACCTAGTCATGACCAAAGTGGGAACATTGTGTTTGGTGACAATGGAAAAAGACAAGTTCTCAGTTTGGGTAAAATTGCTATCTCAAATGATAATTCCATTTCCAATGTTTTACTTGTGAATTCATTGAGATACAATTTATTGTCCGTTTTGCAACTTTGTGAGATGGGCTACAATTGTCTCTTTATGGATAAGAGTGTAGAGGTCTATAGAAGGGAGGATTCCTCTATTGCATTCACGAGTCATTTAAAAGGGAAACTCTATCTAGTTGATTTCACATTAAATAGAGTAAATCCCGAGATTTGTTTAATGACAAAATCTAGCATGGGTTGGTTATGGCATCGCTGACTTGCCCATGTTGGGATGAGGAACTTGGCCAAACTTGAAAAAAGCAAACATATCCTTGGACTAATAAATGTTTCTTTTGAGAAATATAGGATTTGTAGCGCATGTCAAGCGGGAAAGCAAGTTGGAGCTAAACATCCTGTCAAGAATGTTGTGACAACTGAAAGGACATTGGAATTGCTTCACATGGACATATTTGGACCCGTCGCTTATATAAGCCTGGGTAGTAACAAATATGGTTTCATAATTGTTGATGATTATTCTCGTTTCACTTGGGTATTCTTTTTGTGTGACAAGAGTGAAGTTCATGGCATCTTCAAGAAGTATGCAAAAAGAGCCCAAAATGAGTTTGATGTCAAGATCAAGAGAGTTAGAAGTGGTTGAAGAGTTCATTGGTGAAGAAGGAATCAAGCATGAGTTCTTGGTCCCATACACTCCACAACAAAATGGTGTTGTGGAGAGGAAGAACCGAACGCTCATTGAAGCCGCAAGAGCAAGGTTGGATGAATACAAGACTCCAACCAACTATTGGACAGAAGCGGTTAGCACGACATGTCATGCTATCAACTGCTTATATCTTCACAAGAAAAGGGACAAGATCGCCTATGAACTTCTAACCGGTAAAAAACCTAAGGTGCACTACTTTAGAGTTTTTGGATCTAAGTGTTTTATACTTAACAAGAAATAAAAAAGCTCAAAGTTTGCACCAAAGGTTGATGAAGGTTTCGTGCTTGGTTATGGTACTAATGAACATGGATATCATGTTTTCAATAAAACCACCGGGTTGATTGAAATCACGATAGATGTGACTTTTGATGAAACCGATGGCTCTCAAAAGGAGCAAGTCAATGTTGAGATTGTAGATAATGAAGAAGCTCCACATAAAGCCATCAAGAAGCTTGCAATTGGTGAAGTAAAGCCCATCAAAGATGAAGATGATGACAATATTGTGCATGTTGATCTTGATCCAACCACTCATCATGTTTCATCAAATGAACATGGTGAAGCTTCGGCAATAAGAAATGATCAAAATGGGAGATCAAATGAAACACAAGGTCATTCTCATGAAGATGGTGTCAACAATAAGCAAGCTCAACCTCAACTCAACAATGAAGAAAGAAGTGAAGACAACTCTCCAATCAATCATGACCATGATGACGAAGATAATGGCCCCATCCAAAGATCAACTCAAGTGCCACATCCTAGAGTGCATCAATCCATTCAACGGGATCATCCTGTTGATAACATATTCGGGAGCATCCGATGAGGGGTAACATCACGCTCTCATTTAGCAAGTTTTGGTATCTTGGATATCTAAGAAGCAAAACTCCGTTGCTTTGTCCACCACCGAAGCCGAGTATGAGGCGGCCGGTGCCTGTTGTGCCCAACTACTTTGGATGAAGCAAACTCTCAAAGACTTTGGTTGAGAGCTAACCAAGATTCTCCTTTTGTGTGACAACGAGAGTGCCATTAAGTTGGCAAATAACCCTGTGAACCACTCTTGAACAAAGCACATAAATATCCGGCATCACTTTTTGAGAGACCATGAAGCCAAAGGAGATATCGCGATTCATCATGTGAGCACCGAAAAGCAACTAGCCGATATCTTCATAAAGCCCCTAGATGAGTCAAGATTTTGTGCTTTGAGGAGTGAGCTAAATATCATTGATTCTTGTAACATGGCTTGATGTCTTGCACATACTTTATTTAAACTAGCTAGGAGAAAAGAATTGAGAAAATATTGTGGGACACTTTCAAAATCTAATTTATAGTTTTCATATGTGACTATTGCTTTGTGTTGAATGTTTGAACCCTAGTCACATGTGAAAATGAAGTGTCCATCATAATTTTGCCCCATAAGGCATAGTGAGCTCGAGCTAGGAAGTCTCTAAAGTTTCCTACGTCAGAAGTCCCGGCGTCCACCGAAGGTTCCGACAGCCAGAAGTCCCGGTCCCAGGGCTGGAACTCCCAACTGCCGGAAGTCTCGGCTCAGGCCGGAACCTCCGACATAGATCTGAGTCAGCGCCCCTTTGACCATGCTGTTTGACCTAGTTTTTCACCTTTTTTTACTCGGTCCGGCCCGATAACTCCTCATTCTCCCACCCGACCCTGCTCCTACGCCGCCCCCCGCTCTCGCCCCGCACGACTCCGCTCCGCAGCCGCCTTGCACCACCGCCCTCACGCCCTCTGCTAGCATCACCGTCGCCCCAGCACCTCCGGCGGCCGGTGGACTCGCCAGTGGTCCTACCGCTCCCAAGCACCCCCGCCTCTCCGCTTCTCCCGAAGGTCCCGGTCCCCTCCTCGTGTTCCCTCGGTCACCCTATTTTGTTCATTCAAGGAAGTCATCCTCATAGCGGATTTAGTGTTTCTCCTCTTCTTGCTCTCTCTTCTAAGGTACAACCTCCATGGCTAACCCTCACTTCCAAAGTACCTTGTGATTTGATTCTTTTCTTCCTTCCTCTCTCATCCTCTACCTTGTGTGAATGGTTGCGTAGATTTGGAGCCCCATGTATGGCCACCAAAGTAAGTCAGAAGTCCTGGCTCTAGGGCCAGAACTCCTGACCGCCGGAAGTCCTAGCTCCAGGGCTGGAACTCCCGATCGCCAAAAGTCCCGGTGCTAGCCGAAACTTCCAACCCTTTGGTCACTACTCAATCTATATTTCTCTATCTCTAGGCTCTCATTTAACTTTCTTCTGGCTTGACTCATAGTTTCTCTTCGTTTTTCTCCACAGCAATGGCTTCCAGTAGTGATGGCACTCCTCCACGTCGTAGCGAGAAGCGTTCCAAGAAGAACAATGACCCCGTCGCATCCTCTTGGCCGACTGGACGCACCAAGGCATCCCTCCCTCATGATGTAGCAGGTGGTCATGGTGGTCATGCTCGTGCTGCTGATGCTCAAACCCAAGCTCCAGCTCTGCCCGTTGGTGCTGCTGCTCGGGAGTTCATTCCCAGCCTTGGTGATGTGCCCGCTGTTGATCCTGCTGAGGAAGCTCTTGATCAAGAAGGACGGACTATTATTGATGATGTGTGCACCATGACCCCTTTTGCTATGGGTTACTTTGGGATCAGTCGATTGATTCCGTTCGATGGTCCTACTCCTACCATCTGAGAACCGCAGCATGCACTCCCAATCTAGCTGGAGGTTACACACCTCATTTGATGGT